AGAAGTGGGAGAAGAGAAGAAAGCAGAGGAGTGTTAATGATGCAAAACAGAAAGAGAAAAACGTCATTTCATTTGAAATGATCATTTCCGTTACTGTGGAAAAAACCAAAAATCTGACAATAAACATTTTAAAGAGTCATTTTCAGTTACACATGTGTTGAGCATTGGGTTTCCCATCAGTAACAGAATGAATACTTAACATGGGCCATTTTCTTAATGTATGGGAGAGTATTTCCATGCCAATTTGTTACCTCAACTTTTCCTAAAAATTGCCTTTCTTCAAGACTTATATTGATGCGGGTGCCAGAACATCTTTGTTAGTCCGATGGCTGCATTGCACAGACCCGAGACCAGACGTCTGAGCCCAGTGACCAGCCCGTGAACCTTCAGACATCACTGGAGGGTCAGCGCGGGAGGGAGTGTCATTTCCTCACTTGTATCTTTTGGTGCCCCGTGTCCCTTTGACTTGTGGTTAAACTGAGATATAATTATACTGGAGGTGTGGCTACCAGATGTGATATTATAATTAACAGGTCTTAGTGCTTCATAGGCTCTTTCTCAGCATTCACTAATTAATCTTCTTGCCCTATGTCAGTTTATCTCTGCGTTGCAGTTGGTGAGACTGAAGCACGGAGGTTAAATGTCTTGCTTGCAGTCCAGAGTGGAGACAGTAGCTGTCAAGTAGCTTCTTAATGAGAAAGTCCGTCTCCTGTTTTCACAGTTTAACTGTGGCCCTTACACTTAGAGGAATCCAGTTTTTGGCAGCCTGGTCTAGAAGAGCTGGGAGCAGCCCCGGGGTGGGGAACATCCTCGTCCTGTCCCTGCTCTGATGGCCCTTTGGCGCTGGGTCTTGATCAAGCATCTTGCTACAGTTTTGTTTCTTGGGCATTAATTGGATACTCTGACAACACAAATTTCTAATGGCATGTCAAGGTTTCCAACCCTTGCTTTCCATTTAGTAGGAAGTTTTAGCTTTACTAGCTTAACCTGTTGTTATTACAGGTGTGATATGTTAAGGACATGAGTGAGGCAAGATTTATGGAAGAGTATTCTCTCTATCATACCAATAGAAGGAGAAAAACAGGGAAGATTTAGGCCCATGACTCTCAGCAAGACTTTGTGATACTGAAACTGAAAGACCTTCCATTTTGCTTAGCCCAGAGGCTGATTCTCAGACAGCTAAATTAGATAACGTGACTACTGCAGTTGTCACGTTATAAACATCAAAAATGTTCTTTCTTCACAAGCTTAAGACTGTTAAAGTTACTTTATAATATTTGTTCAAAACTCTGTGTTTAAAGTCCTTGTCATGTAAGTTAACTGCTAAAGAGCTCTTACATCATTCTCCACAGATAAGACTTAGACTTGTACTAGAGTAGTTGCTCTTATCATTTCTCAGCATATGTGCTTCTTGTGAGTATATCTGGAACCAGAACAGAAATTGTAAGAAATTCTCAGTGTTACTAGCTTCTCGCCTGAACTACATCTAAAAAGTAGCACAATTCTGTAGATGTAACTTCAGCACATACCAAAAAGCATATGCTAGTACCACAAAGGAAACAACTTTCAGGGCATCAATATGAAAAACAAGTTTGCGAAAATACAGTCAGAGAATGGAGAAAAATGTTATTTGGCATGCTGGATCTCAGTGAATGTCATATTGCTTTTACCTCACCTGTATATGTGAAAATCATATTCAGAAGCATCTCAGCCTTTCCAGGGACATGAACAACTAATTGGAGTGACCCAAGCTCTCCTCGAAGTCTGTACTGAGAAACAGGATCGTCCAGGTAGCATTTCATTTCACCTGCTATTTCTTCTATTCCACAGTAATAGGGAAGCAGAATCTTTTGAAATCCCCCCTGCAAGTAAGAAGGTTAATGCCTGGGTACCCTGCAGTAGCCCAGCAGGATGTATGATGCTCCAGGGTGGCACTTCATGATGCAGAAGATCTCTTCCAGCTCCTGCTGCTCAAACACCATAGCTGGATATCCAGAGCATGAAAACTGGCTCGTTGGGGACAGAGGTCTCTCAGAAATCTCTGATAATAAAATCATTCCTCTTTAAATATTCATTGGCCCAGAGAGAAAGGGAGGAAAGAGAAAGTGTGTGCATGGATGGAGTTTTAACACCCATCTCCTTGGTTGTAAGCACATATCAAATCTTGGAAAATATCCCAGAAAACACCTGAGAGTTTTGCCAAAATTATGTATCCTCCTGTAAGAGAACTAGGGTTTTATGGAATAGTATTTTCTGAGAAAAATATAGGTTTCTCAGGAAATTTTTACCCAGCTTTGGTCTTAATTACACTTTCTACAAATATTGCTGTGGTTGTAGGAGCCTTGAATAGCGGCACACAGTCTGATGTTGAAACTGAGTTTCAGGCAGGTAGAAAATCAAGGCTACCAGAATTAGTCGTTAATACCCTGGAAACCATAAATTGCCTTAATTTGATGGTATAAATTGCTTTAATATGATAGTAATTTGGCCAATAGAGACAGGATGAAAACACTACCAAACTGTTTCTATATGTAGTGATTATTTTTTCATCCAGTATTAACTAAGAAATTCTGTGCAAGCAAGTGTTACAATTAGGCCAGGGTAGGTCCAGAACTTTAATTTCTAGCAAAAGGAGGAGCCCTTTATACAGGTAGCAAAATGAAAAACCGATGCATCTGAATGTCTGGGTATGGTCCACCCTCTTGTGTTTTTCACCAGAATTGCAGTCCTATGGAGAAAATGATTTTTACTGGTCTAAAATAGGAAGGGAAGGTGGTAAGTGGGATCAGTCCTGCTCAGGGGCTGGTATATGTGACTCAAGACCTATGGGAGACCAGCACCCATCTTGAGGAGCAGCTGGAGGTCCGGTGGGACACCCTAGTGCATCCTGCATGGCACCAGGATGTCTCATTTGGAAGAAGTGTCAGGAGGAATGTTAGGGGGAAGGAGCTTCTCTGTTCAATGAGAAGATGCTGTTCCACATGTTTGCTCATTTTTTAATATCTATCAAAGTAAGCAAAGAGCTTCTATTTCCTCTGTTTCTGCCTTTTTATTAATGTCCTGGTTTCGGCTGGAATAGAGTTAAATTTCTTCCTAGTGCTGTGTTTTTTGGATTCAGTATGAGAATGTTGATAAGACACTGATGTTTTCAGTTGTTGCACCCTGCTCTG